CGGTGGCCGGGAGTGGCCACTGCACTCCAGTCTAGGCGACAGAGTGAGACTTCAACTCAAAAAAAAAAAAACAAAAGCAAAAGCAAAAACAAAAAGTCAAGTTTGCAGCTCACGCCTATAATCCCAGCAGGACCGTGCAGGAGGATCACTTGAGCCCTGGAGTTCAAGACCAGCCTGGGCAACACAGTGAGACCTGGTCTCTACAAAAAATCAAAAAAATTAGCTAGGCATGGTGGTGTGTACCTATAGTTCCACCTACTCAGGAGGCTGAGGTGAGAGGATCCCCTGAGCCCAGGAGGTAAAGGCTGCGGTGAGCTGTGATTGTGCCACTGTACTCCAGCCTGGGCAATAGAGTGCGACCCTGACTCAAAATAAAAGGGGTGGTTGGACACAGAGAGGAGACTGTGAAGACACGGTCATCTGCCAGCCCAAAAGGGGCCTCGCACAGATTCTCCCTTATAGCCTTCGGCAGGAACCAGCCCTGCTGACACCTTGACTTTGGACTCTGGCCTCTGGAACTGTGAGATGATCAGTTTCTGTTGTTGAAGCCACTCAGCCTGTGGCAGCCCTAGCAAACACATGCAGCCCTTCAAGTGGGCATTTCCAAGCAGTTGGAAAGGGGTGGCGTTTCCAGGTGGGAAGAGAGACAGCATGCACTGTCAACACCCAGGCGGTCACAGACCACGTGTGTCCGGGGCACCGGGCCCGGGCTGCACGACACTGGGACCTGGTAGTGAATCAGACCCAGGCCAGGCCCTGCAGTGGCCTCTGGACACACACGGGCAGCGGGAATTCAGGTGGCCCCTGCTACCGTGGAGGCTCCTCTGGCCCTGGCCGACCCCAGAGGAGGGACAGGCTTCCAGACACAGGCACAGACTGAGTCTCAGGTTCATGATTCATACCATGGACATGTGTTGAGCCCTAAATCGGGGCTGACCTTGTGCCTGGCACTATGGACACAGCGGGAACCAGACAGTGACAGATTCTACCCCTTACAGCACCCAGTCTAGAGAGACAGAGAACAGGGGACTGAGGACAAACACAGGACCACAGAGGACACAAAGTGATGAAGGCTCTTTCCTGCAAGATGGCTGGGGCAGGCCTCTCGGAGGTAACTTCAGAGCTGGAACAGAAGCCCACTGGGGCATGCAAAGAGCCTGGGAAAAGAATGTCACAGGCCAAGAAGACCCAGGGGACAAGGGTCCTGAGGGGATAAAGACTTGTCGAACTCAAGCAGTTTCTGAAAATGTTGACACAGGAGGACCAGCGAGCGAGAAGGCACACAGGGGTGGCAGGGCGGGTGGGCCTGGTCTCCAAGCAACAGTGAGGAGGGTGACCTTGAGCCCAAGGGCACTGAGGAGCTATGGCAAGTTCAGAGCAGAGAAGGGACAGGTCTTGAATTGGGTATTATGGTGGGTTAAAAAATGATCCCTGAGGCTAATGGTGGTTCAGCCTATAATCCTAGCACTTTGGAAGACTGAGATGAGTGGATTACCTGAGGCCGCGAGTTCGAGACCAGACTGGGCAACTTGGTGAGACCTTGTCTCTACAATAAATGAAAAAATTAGCCAGGCATGATAGCGTGCGCCTGTAGTTCTGGCTACTTGGAAGGCTGAGGAAGAAGGATTGCCGGAGCCCAGCCGGTTGACACTGGGATGACCGTGAGTATGCCACTGCACTCCAGCCTGGATGACAGAGTGAGATTCCAACTCAAATAAAAAAAAAAGGTCCCCAAAAAGGTATCCACATCCTGAGGTGGGCATGGTGGCTCACATCTGTAATCTTATCCCGCGCCTTTGGGAGGCTGAGGTGAGTGGATTGCCTGAGCCTGCGGGTTTGAGACC